AAAGAAAATCAAAGAAATCAAAAACAATTCAGAAAAATTCAAAACCTTCTAAAAATACATAGTTGATATCTTCTGAGAGACAAAATAATATATGTCATCCTTTAAGAATAAAATGCTGCTAAAAATGAAATTCAAAGAATAAAAACAATTGAATACTGACAATATAAAATGAGTAATGTATAACTGAAGTAGAAAGGTAGAAAGATAAGCATCTCAGAATTGGACAGAAATATCCCAAAATGTAGAACAAAAAAGAAAAAAGCTAGAAAATAGTCAAGAATCAATAGGAAAATTAAAGAGTCACTCCACTCCAGAGCTCCTATATATGCGCTCCAATATAAAAGCCCATCAAGTGCCCAGCAAAAAAAAAAAAAAAAAAAAAAAAAAAAAAAAAAAAAAAAAAAAAAAAAAAAAAAAAAAAAAAAAAAGGGAAAAGAAATTCACATAATTACAAAATCTCAGAACACTGGAAATTAAAAGATCTAAAAGTTTCTGGAGTTCAGGTAAGGTTATATGCAAAATGATCAGAAATCAGTGAATTTAAATTTAAAATTCTGAAAGTGATTTTTAAATTAAAATCAAGGCTTCAAAAATTCTCTTCCCATGCACACTTTCCAGGAAAGTATCTTCCCTTTCCAGAAACCAACTTAGTCAGTTAAAATAAGTGAGTAAACAAAGAGGAATGAGTCCCTGCTTAATCACCACTACAAACACTGGCCACATATTCAGAGCATCCAATGAGCTTTTCAGAGCCTATCTCTCCAGTATGAACAAAGTTAAATGACCACTAGACATTAATGGGAACCAAGAAAGAGGAAAACTGATGAGAGAGAAGAATAAAATTCTCCAGTAGGATGATGAAAAGAAATCCCAAGTGATAGGTGTGCAGTAGACTTCAAAAGCAACCCATCTCAATTAAAAGATGGGAAGGAAAAACTGAGGAAAGGATGTCTCATGAGGAGAAAGAGAAGCTGATAGATTGCTTAACGCATCTGACCGTATTGAAAAGAGTTTTATAGAGGTAGAGAGTTAGAAAAAATATTGGTGACTGGACTAAAGAGGTTATGATACAGGTTTCTTGGGTCTGATGTACAGTGTGAATAAATGCTTGCAGCTCTTAGCCCTTTACTGATCAATGAGGAACTTTTTTATTAATATTTTCCTTTGTTAAAGGAGGAACCATAACTCTCTGTAGCTGTACATATAACCCTTTTCTCCTAAAGAGGAGTCAGTCAGTGCTCCTGTATTTTTAATTTTTTTGTCAAAGCAAGAAGTAAATACTTTAGAATTATTAAATATATAAACAAAGTGAATAAAGTTGAAAAAAAAATAGAATTTATATTAGTATTTCCATATCCTGACTTTCTCCCTCCTCCTTTCAGTACTCTAGACTTGCACAATTTAGCCCTCTCAAAATCTGAAAATTGGAAAGCGACAGTGGAACCTGCAGAAAGTTCTCTTGAACACTTGATAATTCGTTTACTGGAACTGGGAAGATTACAACATATGACTATTCAAAAAGAGAGGACCAGACTACAAACTACTCTCTATACTCCAGCAGTTACCGAATGATCCTTTTCCTCCAAAGTTATACCAAAAGTGAGACAGCCAAAACCTTGTGACTCTTTGAGTCTTCAGATACCTTGTGTAGATAAACGTCAAGAAAAAAGAAAAAACAATTCTGGTTCTTGCAAGCTTGAGCAAAATTCTTTAAAATGGAATTGGAGCAATGCTGGCAAACAGATGGAATTCTAGACCACCATCTCTAAAAAGTTCTTCCACCACAAAACAATTGATTGCAACTGACAATGATAAGAATCCCAAAAGTTCTATTTTAAATCCATGCCAAGACCTCTCATCCAAGCCTATGCTGGCCAGACAACTCAATCACTGGTTAAAATGGTCTCCACAAGATGTCTGCCATCAAGATCTCCAATGCCAGTTTCACCTATACTTCTGTCTTTTCCCGAAAATCAGAAGGAAATTAAGGCACTGAAGAGAAACTTTGGAACCAAAAAGAAACATTACCGACAAAATATAGTGTTGAATAGACCATTCTATATTCAGAAGCTAAACTGTCTGTCACCTTCCTTTATTGCTAAGGATAAGTGCTCACCCACTGACCAAAAATGACTCTTTTCTTTCATACACCTCAATGTGAACAGATCTATTCTAAGAAGCCCAACTAAGATATGGTTAATTATTCCAAGACACAGGTATTATTTAAAAAAATATCACATCAAACAGTTGCTTGAAGTGATATGGAGTGTAACTTGTGAAAAGCACTGCTGGGACGTCTATATGTAAATCCACAGGCTTCTATAATTATACGTTTGACAACCTTTTGCAATTTGTGTTTCAAGGAAATGGTTCATTTAGTAGACTATTCTATTCAAAAGGCTATTCTTTTTTTCAGTGATCGTTTTCCAGTATAATTCCATCAATAAATGGTATAATTGAAAAAAAAGAAGTTCTAATATACTTGTATATTAGAAAAATACACAAGTAGAGATATAAAATTATCATAACCTATTATGATCAGCTCTAAACAATATTTACATGTGACAATAATATAAAAAAAGACATATTGATTTAACCAAAAAATCGTGACATAACTCTGTTAAGAGCAGTGAAAGGAAGTGTGTGTGTGTGTGTGTGTGTGCATGCGCACGCGTGCATGCATGTGTGTGCATTTTAGGGGCAGGAAGGGTGGTATAACTAATAATTTCTCAGTTTCCATAATAGGAAGTGAATGAATAAGGCCTAACTTTGAAAATTAAAGAGATAATGGCATATTTTGACGTGTAAGATAAAAACCAGAAGAAACAGCTAAATTAGTTGAAGTAATTGCCACTGGAGAGCCAGACTTCTGCTAGGGTGGAGAATGAAGGAAAGCAGAGGCTATTTTTACTGTATATTCTGGGATAAAATCTTTCACTATGCACATATATTATTTTCACAAAAATAAAATTTAAAGAAGAAAAAATAATCAGGGTACAAATAAAGGTATATGTATAATAATGCCTATCAATATATCCTTTGAAATTCTAATTTTAAAAACCTAAATTTCCAATATAAGGCATCATTAAATTATTTGAGTATTACAGAAGTTAGAAAAAATACAGCTAATAGTATTTGGATTTATCAAGAATATTTGACATTGAAGGAAGTTGAAGACATAATAGTAATTGAAAGTATACGACAGAAAACTATATACAGTATGATTTAAATTTTATAAATATGTATAAAATTCAGAGGAAAAAAGTTGAGAAGAAAGTAGATGAAGCTGTTAACAAATGGTAACTCTTCAGTGATAATTCTAACATTTTTCAGACTTCTCTGAATTTTCCAAATTTTCTACAAAAGAAGTAAATTGCTTTTATAATCAAGGGGAAAGATGACATTTCAAGTAATTGATTTATTTATTTGAAAGCAAATTTTACCATTCAAAACCTGGCCAAGTAGAAACAACATCTACTAACTCCAGAGGCATAGTTCAGCATTGTGTGCTACTATCGAAGGACAGGTTATCTCATTGACACCTCAGTCCTCAAAAGAGTGAGACACTGAACAAGAACATTTCAAAGAGATGGTCAAAGGGTATTCAAGTTATAAAACAAGTGAGGGGTTTGGGGAGTAGAGGACAATGAGAGAACTGAGAACAGGAGACCTGCAAGCACAGAAAATACATTTCACCAACTTCACTATGTAAATAGACCTCTAAATTTTTATTCTTATGCCCCATAAGTTAATTTTCATTTTTTTATTGCATTTTAGGTTTGGGGGTACATGTGAAGAACATGCAAGATTGTTGCATAGGTATACATGTGGCAGTGTGATTTGCTGCCTTCCTCCCCTTCACCTATATCTGGCATTTCTCCCCATGCCATCCCCCCACAACTCCCCACCCCCCACTGTCCCTCCCCTATTTCCCTCCAATATATATCATTTCTTTTTTTTAACTTTTAAATACATTTATTATTTTGTTTAATTTTTTTAAATTTTTGTGGTTACATAGTAAGTGTGTGTGTGTGTACATATGTGTGTGTGTGTGTGTGTGTGTGTGTGTGTGGTACAGGAGATGTTTCAATATAGGCATATAATGTTATATATTAACATCATGGAGAAAGAGGTATGCATCCCCTCAAGCATTTATCCTTTGTGTTACAAACAATCCATTACACTTTGTAAGTTATTTTAAAATGTACAATTAAGTTATTATTGACTATTGTCACCCATTTGTGCTTCTTTTCTGAGTCACAAAGATTTATAGCCTTAAAAAGTTTCAGGACCTAAAAGTTTCAGGATACAGAATTAATCTACACAAATCAGTAGCCCTACTATACACACCAAGAGCGACCAAGCTTAGAATCAAATCAACTCAACCCCTTTTACAATAGCTATAAAAAAATTAAAATACTTAGGAATATACTTAACCAAGAAGGTGAAAGACCTCTACAAGGAAAACTACAAAACACTGCTGAAAAAATCATGGACATGAAAAACAAATAGAAACACATCCTAAGTGCATGGATGGGTGGAATCAATATTGTGAAAATGACCATACTGCCAAAAGCAATCTACAAATTCAATGCAATTCCCATCAAAACACCATCATCAGTTTTCACAGAACTAGAAAAAACAATCCTAAAATTCATATGGAACCAAAAAAGAGTCCACATAGCCAAAGCAAGACTAAGCAGAAAGAACAAATTGTGAGGCATTACATTACCTGACTTCAAACTACAGTATAAGACCATAGTCACCAAAACAGCATGGTATTGGTATAAAAACAGACATATAGACCAATAGAGAATCCAGAAATAAAGCCAAATACTTACAGCCAACTGATTTTTGACAAAGCAAACAAAAACATAAAATGGGGAAAGGACACCCTATTCAACAAATAGTGCTGGAAATAATTGACTAGCCACATGTAGAAGAATAAAACTGGATCCTTATCTATCACCTTATACAAAAATCAACTCAAGATGAATTTAAGATTTAAATCTAGACCTGAAACCATAAAAATTCTAGAAGATAACATTGGAAAAATCTTTTAGACACTGGCTTAGGCAAAGCCTTCATGACCAAGAACCCAAAAGCAAAAACAACAAAAACAAAGATAAATAGATAGGACTTAATTAAACTAAAAAGCTTCTATGAAGTAAAAGAAATAGCAACAAAGTAAACAGACAACTCACAGAGTGAAAGAAAATCTTTGCAATCTATACATACATCAGACTAATATCCGGAATCTACAAGGAACTCAAACAAATTAGTAAGAAAAAACAAACAATCCCATAAAAAAGTGAGCTAAGGACATGAATAGACAATTTTCAAAAAAGATATACAAATGACCAACAAACTTATGAAAAAATGCTCAACATTGCTAATTATTAGGGAAATGCAAATCAAAACCACAATGCGATACCACTTTACACCTGCAGGAATGACCATAATTGAAAAATTAAAAAATAATAGATGTCGGTGTGGATGTGGTGAAAAGGGAACACTTTTACACTGTTGGTAGGAATGTAAACTACTACAACTACTATGAAAAACAGTGTAGAGATTCCTTAAAGAACTAAAAGTAGATCTACCATTTGACCCAGCAATCCTACTCCTGGGTGTCTATCCAGAGGAAAAGAAGTCATTATACAGAAAAGATACTTGCACACGCATGTGTTTCACAATTGCAAAAACATGGAACCAGCCCAAATGCCCATCAATCAATGAGTTATATATATATAACATTTTCTTTAGAAATGAAATAGAAATAGAAATGAAATGGAAAATACGTATATTTTCTATTTTTCTATTGATTATTATTGACATAGAGTCCTATCTTAGACACTGTGGATAAAAGGTTTATTAAAAAAAAAAAAAAAGGCTCTGCCTCTGAAGAAGTCTCAATACTATTTTTTTCCACATACAGAATGTACAATTAATTAAAGGTCCAAAAGGATGACTGGCTCCAAATATATATATAAATAGAAAATATATATATACAAATAGAAAATTGTCTATTCATGTCCATATATATATATGTATATATATACAAACACACACATACACACACCATGGAATACTACTCAGCCATAAAGAGGAACAAAATAATGGCATTTTCAACAACCTAGATGGAACTGGAGAGCCTTAGTCTAAATGAGTAACTCAGGAATGAAAAACCAAACATGGTATGTCTCACTCATAAGTGGGAACTAAGCTGAGAATGCAAAGGCATAAGAATTATATGATGGACTTTGGGGACCAAGGGGAAAGGCAAGGGGGCGGTGAGGGATAAAAGACTATACATTGGGTACAATGAACACTGCTCAGGTGATGGGTGCACCAAAATCTCAGAAATCACCACTAAAGAACTTATTCATGTAACCAAACACCACCTGCTCCCCCAAAAACTTATGAAAAAGAAAAATCCAGTTTCAGGGCCTACTTTTAATATTTGCATCACCAAGGAGAGGAGGAGAATGTAGGCAACTCCAACATCAGTAAAAAGGGAAGGCATAACAGAAGTTCAAACATGTTTTGGCTGTGGAGATTTGTAGCTTTTAAATGGAACATAGCAGTTTACTGGTAATGATTGAAATACCTAGAAATTCAGAAGACGGTGGCTGGGAAAGAGGTCCCTGATTTCCTTATTCATCTAGAGCCACTCTGCAGCTTATATTTTTGAGAGATCTCCTAAGAATTCATTTGAATCAAGAATTCTGCAACTAAGAATTAATTCTCTGAGCTCAGTCATATAGTATCAAATTACCTAGCAATTAGCTGTCAGTCGTCACATCCTATAGCCTATGCTTATGTATCTCATATACTCCATTTTATAAATGTTAACCTCAGGTTCATACTGACAGTGTCATTTCAAAAAAACTAAACCAGCTGGACATATCTCACTGGAAGTATCAGGAAGGAAGAAAGCATGAGTAATATGGTTGGTACATGAACCCAGCCCCTCTTCAAAATAAGTATTCAATCTATGATTAGTATGTATGTTGCATCATTTGTCCAGTACTTTTAAAATACATACTTTTCTAGAGATAATATTTTTAGGTTAACCATGTCCTAGGATCACCTACCCATACAGTGTACCGAGGTTCCAAATCACCACAGTCCTTTGCAAAAATATAAGAACAGTTTCCTGGGAAGTAATAGTAGATGCCATCAAATGTTTCAAAATGATACTGTCCCCAGGTTTTGCAAATCCCATCTCTGCCGTTGCCCATGTTTGGGACTGAAAAGAAACAGGATAATATTTTGTAGACAAAATAAATTACACCTTTCTAGCAATGTTCAGTCATGGTAAACGATTCTAATTTTCATTCAAATTTCCTTCCCTGGTAGTCTGTATCATAGGAAGAAATAACTAATATAAAATTACCAGTTGCTCTCAAAACTTTCAAACTTCCCTGAAGAAAAACAAGGTCTCCAAGTAGTT